GCCAGAAAGCTCCCCTGCAGGCTGTGTTTTAAGGAACAGGAGAAGAGCCTGAGGGTAAGGGGTTTCTTTTCTGGAGGGAAGGGCTGTCGTTCACTTGCAGCTCCAGCCCTGCTCCTGTCACAGGGAGGGGTTACTGTATCAGGGAAGGTCCAAGATACAGACACGAAAAACAGACACCGTAGCTCGCTCAACAAAAAAATAAACCAATATTTATTACAAAAGGTGGCCAAGAAAATGAACAAACCCAAAAGGGAGGAAGGAGGAGAGAAATAAGTCGCCAGTTACCCAGCTGTTGCCCAGAAAGTTCTCTTACTGACCTAGCAGGCCTGTAATTACCCAGAGCAGAAGCTGCATCCCTGGAGAGTCAGTAAGTTCACAAACTGGCAGGTGTCCCTGCCAAAGGAAACGTTGTCCTTGGTGTGAAGTGAGCTCTCCCCAAGAAAGCACTGTCTACTTTTATACAATTAACTGAGTGACCACAGCCTCCCAGGTGTGGCCAGCACTGCCCAGCCCGAGGCCCTCAGTCCCACCCCCGGTTATGTCAGTGCATCTCTTTTGCACACGTGAGAACTTCGGAAATCCCCTCAGGCACGCGCAGAGTGTCCTGGGGGTCTTTCTTAATTGAGTCTGGGGCCGAGCCTTCCTCATCCTCCTCCTCAAACTCTCCTTCAAGCGACCTTGGAGGACAAGTAGCCAATCACTGAATGCCAATTACAACAGTTTATACAGGAAGTTCTCTTCAAGGACAACTTTCCCGTTCATCAGGGCTTGTTTTCCCATAACTTGGCAGGGAAAGAGCAAAGCTTTCACAGGTGGCAGGGCCAAACACAGACCAAAAGTATCAGCATAAATTCACCCTGGTACAGGGGGTCAAACCTGTCCCATGAAGTCCGAGCAGGTCCGGGCTGGGGGCAGAACAGGGCGCAGGAAACGAAGGCAAACGGGAACCAGCAAACAGCCAGATGAGCAGGCCCAGAACAAAAGGACCTCGGAGCCTCTCCAACACACCCCTTGCCTGAGTTAAGGCCAAAGTGAAGGGCCTTGCCCTTTGCCCAGGAGAAAGCAAAAAACTCCACCCCCCCAGAGCCTTCTGAGGGCTCCCAACCTGCAATGTGGGCTGGGCCAGTTCTTTTGTGGGTGTGAGTCACCCAAG